GCATTTTATTTATTGCTAGTGTGGTGGGACTAAGTCCCTTGTACTGCGGCCTCTTCTTGCCTATTGTACCAGCCCCTAATGATAGGTGAGGGTGATTGTGGAGCAATTGGTGCAATGAAGATTGGCAGGGGAAACCGAAGTACTCGGAGAAAACCTGCCCCAGCTCCACTTTGTCCACCACAAATCCCACTTGACCAGACCCGGGATTGAACCCGGGGCGCCGCGGTGGAAAGCCAGCGACTAACCGCTTGAGCAATGGCGCGGCCATCTGGTGCCAAAGTCAAGAATATATGGATCTATCCATCCACTCCCCCATACGTCTTCATGGCGTAGTGTTTCATTAGTTATTCACAGAGACTTTAGCTTTTTAGTACTCTGTAAATAGAGACAGTTGGTTCCTCTGAAAAATAAGTACCTATTTACACGGTGTCACATAAGAGAATACAGAGCTGTTCATAATCACTGTGATGATATGGAACGTATCACCGACTGCGGGCCTTCCCCGAGCAGACACAGCGTGACAAGGACAATCCTCTCTTCCCGCCGCTTCTGTTTACACAAACAGAACGCAAAATGCAGCTCAAAGGAAGAAACGGTAATTACGCGCTCATTTTCTGTAATTACACACGCCACACTGCGCCCGGGGCAAGGTGCGAACCCAAAGCATCACACACAGAGGTGCTACGTAAAGGGGAGTGAATTTCTAAATTTAGCTGTCTTTGTTTAGATAATTCAATCACAGTTTACAGGTCCCAAGTTTTTATTTGTGCGTTAATGAACAAGGCCCTCATTATCTCAGGCTACACAGTGTCGAGTGGTAGGATTACTGAATGATAAAGCAGAAAGGATTGGGAAGGAAGTGGTCATGATATAATTGTGCTATAAATTATTTGCTAGACAGTAGTTGTTCGCCTATCGCAGTGGCCAGCCGCGTGTTCTGAAGCATGTCTGTCTTCGCCCGCTCGAACACTGGGAATCATGGGTTCGAATCCCACTCAAGGCATGGATGTTCGTCTGCAATTGTTTTGTGTTGTCATGTGTAGGTAGCGCCTTGCGACGGGCTGATACCCCGTCCAAGGAGTCCTACCGCCTAAGATTAAGAAACTGAAGTGAAACGAAGCGTTTCACGGACGCCCTATTCTCAAAGTGGGAGCAAGAGGAACAGATACAGGCAGACAGACAAACAGACAGACAGATTGTGGTTGTTCATATATACCAGTATGTATAAATAGTAGAAAAACTACCCGTTCTTCGGCGGGGGTACGATTGCTTACCTTGTGAATATAGCAATTTAAAGTCTAAAATTTTAGAGAAGGAATCACTTAAGGTATTAATGTTTACTCTTTTATCTGTGGTTCTGTATGGCTGTGAAATTTGTTTCTGATATTAAGGGAGGAACATAGACTGAGGGTGTTGAGAAGAATATATGGACCGAAGAGATGTGAAGTGACAGGAGGTTGGAGAAAACTGCATAATGAGGAGCTTCATAACTTGTACCCTTCTCTAAATATAATTAGAATGACCAATTCAAGGAGGATGATGAGGTGGGCAGGACATGTAGCCCGAATGGGGGAGAAGAGGAATACATATAGGATATTGGTGGTGAAGCGAGAGGGATGGAGACCACTAGAAAGAAAAAGACGTAGGTGGGTGGATAATATTAAAATGGATCTCATAGAGGATGGGGTGGTATGGACTGGATTTGTATGGCTGAGGATAGGGACCAGTGGAAGGCTCTTGTGAACATGGTAATGAACCTTCGGGTTCCATAAAATGTTTACGAAGTTCTTTATTTAACTGCACAACTGGCGGCTTCTCAAGAAGGTCTCAGCTTCAAGAAGTTAAGTAGTTTGTTCGTGCAAATAAATAAGAAATAATCGGAACCGACGTTTCGAATCGCAACCAGAAACTCTACCGCAACACTTGCACATCGCTTTAATAGCCGTGGCTACCGTACATATTGGTAAGAGTAAATAGCAAACATTTCTTACATTTGTCCCTCACATTTTACGAAAATAACGTGAGAGGTTGGAAACAGCCACTAAACAAACAAACAAACAAACAGACGAGATTCACGAAGCCATGCCCGAACAGGACACGGCTCTTCCATTCTATTCACCATTTAGAAACCCCTCTGACCTTGGGCGCAATATAACTTATACAGTTGGTAAACAGTCATTATGAGCACGACAATAATCAAACAAAAAGGGCTTAATTAAAGAGATGCATATGGTTTTAACAATAGGTACCATTTCAACAGGCGCCCCCCTTTCAAAAGCCAGAAGCAACACAAAAGGCAGTTAATCAGTATAAAAGGTCTGGACCATCAGCGGTCTGCCCGACTTCCTTCGGGACCCCGTCACTAAAGAAATGCTATTCATATGCATGTAGCTACTGGGTGGGTGGAAACTGCGTGCACATTCTTCTCGGCCATGCGATTTTTGTTGTTGCTTTATTACACTGTATACTGGATTTAATGGAAGAATTCGGTGGTCGAGCTTTACACATTTCCGAATATCCATTCAATCCAAATTTTCGTAGAAAACAGGGTCTGTATGAGACCAAAAAATCTAAAGAAAATTACAGTTTTCCAGTAAGTCCTATCTTTTGTTTTACCTTCAAGTTTCTCTCGTTTATTTTCTTTTCCCCATGGAGTGGTAATTAAACAAAATATTTGTAACACAGAACAAATCAAACACAGCCCAACACAAATTGATTTGCGACAGAACGACCTATGTGCTAGATACAAGTTATGCTGCCAGCGCGACTGACGGGAGTCCGTATACACCACGTAACAACCAGACGGTTACGGGGAAGTACCGAAGAATTTTGTTCGTTAAATCCAGGATTCAATGTACGCTGTATCTACAGTAGCTAACAGTATGATGAATGATGAACTAGACAGGATTTGGAAGGAAGATGTCGTGGCAAATTCGAGGTAGTTGCTAAATTGTACACCAGTCAGCATAATGACATAGATTGTACAATCTGATTTTCAATAAAGGGAAAAAAAATCGAGGTACTAACGAGACATTTACTTGATGGGACTGAGGGAAAGCACGAAAGCCTGTCAGGATAGTCTCCATGTCTCTGCCGATTGGGTACATAAGTTTCATTCATGAATGTTACACAAGACCCAAGCAGTGCTCATTAACCTTGGTGTTCAGGGTGAGGATCTATTAATTCATATGAAGTAGTAAGTTTTGTGAACCGTTGCCAAAGAAAGTAGGAAAGAACAGTAAAAGGAGTGAAAGGGGGAAAGCAATGAGAGAAGTGGGAGTTGTTTTGTTTTGGGATGGGGGGATGGGAGAGAAATTACATAATATTTTTGGAGTAGAAATTGTGACTTGAGAGAAGGTGCACGAGTGTTACTCTACCGTTTATGGTCAACTGCGCGATTTTGTACGGAAATTTAACTTGACGCTTGAAGTTGATACAAATAATATTAAAAACATTTGAACTTACAGAAAATACAGAGTATCTCTCTTACAAAGCCCAACCGGTTAATTCTGTTTAGGGAAATGCTCGCTGTTTATTTTGAGAACCATACGGAATACACCGTGAGGGCAGAATGCAGAGACTTTATATATAAGAATCCAGTCCGTACCTCACAGGAAACACATTACGTCTCCGCTACAGAGCCCGACCGGTTAATGCTGTTTGGGGAAACAGTCGCTGTTTATTGTGAGAACCATAAGGAACACATAAATACATTGTGTGGGCAGAAGGCAGAGTTTTAGTACGTTAAAGCAGCTGATACCTATACTTGTATATATCACTGTGTAGTGCTTTTAGGCATGTTAGTGACGCTGTATAACTCACAGTAAGTCCGTCCATCCTACAATTTGTAAGCGTCAAATTGGAAGACTGCTGGACTAATTTGCCTGAAATTTTATATCAGAAAAACATGTACGTCAAATTGTCTAGTTGCTTCAACCTTCATTTAAATCGGGCAAGTTCAACAGCCGCTTTACATGAAGACCTCCCCATGAACTCTTGCGGGTAATTCAGAGCGTAACTTGCTGAACATTTATCGAAGCGCAAAATGTTTCGAACACAAGCTAACAAAAGTGAAACATATTTTTTTATGTGCCATGCACTTTCTCCCTAAGTCTTACGGTTTCCGAGACATTTACACAAAATGGAAAATATGAACTAATTTCCCAACTTTCGTAATCAGCACTCAACAATGGCCTCCTGAACACAAGTACAGTCAAGATATCATCAAAATAAAATATCTATTGTTTCGACTACGTTGCATTAAATTTGTTTTATTCTTTTTGAGGCGGTGATCTGCTGCAATGTGGCTCTGAAATTAACATAAACAGTTCACATATATTTAATTTCGTTTTACACGCAGTAACAATAGTGAATACTGAAATGTAATACTAATTTTTTATTATACATTTATCGCTTCTAGCCAATTCGAATATCATAACCTAACAATGAATAGTTGCTTGTAAATTAATATTTCAGTATTATGTCGTAAGAGTACCTTACCGTGTTCACATGAGCCCTCAACTGGCAGTTGTCCTCAAGCAGATGTAACCAGTTCACGCCCCATCCTATTTCTCTAATATCAATTTTAATATTATCCTCCCACCTAAGTCTATATCTTCATGGTATTTTCATTCATTCAAGTTCTCCTATCGAAACTCTTTACTCGTGCGTGCGACACAGTTCATAATAGCTTTAACTGTTTCATGCACAACGCTTTGTAACGCGCGAGGTAAATGTACACTGAATATCTTTACACTCCTGTTTAATGATAGAGCATTTACCCTTGTCCTTTAGAGGGTTAATGAGTCTCTCTAATTTTACTTCTCACGTAAAAGGGAGCCTGTGATAAAGAGAGGGATTGAAGGGGAAGAAAGAGAAACGAGACGTGGTACAGAAGAGAAGTGCAAAAGGCAGGCGACGATTACATTTTTATATAAATAACACGCAGTACAGACCCCTTCAAAATATGCTTCACTATTACAAGTTATTATTTCGCTCACCAAATATGCCATATCCTGTCAAGAGAAACCGCAGCATTTTCGGGAAGTCCGCCAGACACACAGCACAACTACAGTATGTTGCTTCTGTTATTTGTTTCAACACTTCGGTCCAAAAACACTTTTCACTTTAAATCAACACTTTCCACACATTTAACATATAACCAGAATGTTAGCGAAATACACGCAATGTTTTTTTTTTCTTCAAATGAAAAAAAAATATTTTTCTCCGTAAAAATCAATATATGTTATTACTAACGAATATATTTAAAAATTAGTCTAATCTACTCTCTACGTCACTACACATTCGTTAGATTATATCGAAATTAAATCGATAGACATTTTCGAGTGTTGCTACATGCTGTTCTGTTGACACTAACATATTTCTCGTTTGAACAATATTGTCTCTTAGTGTTTGTGATATAACAAATAACTTTACGTTAAACATTTTAAAGCAGTAACCGTGAGACACAGTACACAGACACCTCGCATTGTGAGTGAGATCAGATGAGCGCTGTATGTCACTCGGGGCTACGCAGGTGCTGGCTGACGTCCTGCCACTTCCGCCGTGAGGCTACTACTGCTCTCATGCACCAAGCGACGCTGAACCGAGCGAACGAGCTAGCTAGCAAGTCCGGGCGCGCGCGGGCGGCCTCAACGCTCTGCTAGATCGATGGGCCCATTCCGGGAGCATCATAATCTATTCTATACTCCGGTACAGCCTGTTTTTCCCTTCTCTCTGCCCCCCCTCAACCCCTTCCTCTGTCCCTCGCTGAATGAATCCATGGCCCTCTGAGTTTGTCGTATGTTTTCTGTTATACCTTTGTCTCTTTGTTTGTTGATGTACGTTTTTATTTGTCTGAATGTAAAATACGTTTAATGGGGTACGTAAAAGTGGCTTAATAGCCCATGCTACGTTCTTGACTCGCTCAGGTACGTGTATGTACGTTCTCAGGCTGGAGAAGCACGTCCCAGCGTCCCACAGAGCCGTTATATTTCATATGTTCTATAAGCATGGGTATGGAACTTGGTCTTAACAAACTGTCATGACGAGCTGAGAGAATTTTCAGAGTCGCATGAAGAATTCTGCTTCATGGCAATGTTTTGGTGAATCCTATGTTAATTGCGGCAATATGGAAAGCATGAAATTGTCGTGGCCGGTTAAAAGACTTTTCTTGATATGCACATACGAGAAATAATTAAAACCAAACAAATGGCTTCAGTCACGACGTCAAAGGCGATCACCCGGATTCGAATAAAGGACATCCTAACTAACCTCCTATATGTGGAGGGTCCATGTTCGATACCTGCGCAGTGAACTTCAGATGCTGCACGTTTCCCCCACTCACTCCTATTTGTTTCTCGGTGATTTCCTTTCCAGAATACAAATTCAATTTAACGTATAATAGAAAAGCAAACTATACACTGAGAGCTCACCGCCTTTTCCGGTATATATCTACCAGACTACACGGCGTCACGTTCCATTGTCACCTCCGTGAGAACCTCAGTCACAGGCCGCGGTTGTAGACGTGGCCTCTGTTTAGCGCGTCAGTTGAAGTGAGAAGGTTCGATTCCCGGTAACGGCAAGATCCTCTTTTCTTCCACTGCTTCCAGACTATGGACCGCGTGGGCTCTTTCGCCGGGGGGGGGGGAAAGCGACCGGAGCTTTAAGCTGACACTTTTCCTTAGGTTAAGATTACGTGCAAGTACGCGACTGTTCCTCGTGTTTTTTCATGACGTTGTAAACACGGGTAAAACTTTTTTATCTCACGCTCGTAATTGGTTTATTTAATGACATTTTTCAACTAGTACCGTGTTCTTAGTGTCAGCCGGAGGTGTTAAATGCTGTTAGTATGGAGCGCGGGCAACGCGACAAAGAAACGTAATTAGTCGCCCCGACTGACGTTTCAGCCCGTCAGCCACTCGACATCAGAGTTGTGGGTTGTGAACACCTGCTCTGCGCAGCCGTGGGACAGTCAACAACGACGCACTGCTCCCCACTGCTCCCCACTTCCCTATTTTTACAGGGGAGACACCAATCATTGTCGGCGAGTGGGTACCGATCCTGCCTCGTGCTCATGAGGGCCCAGCTCCAAATCTCGACTCAGAGACACTAAATAAAGACTGAAGATTTTCATGGGTTTTCCTCAGTCCCATCTACTGCTATGATATCCTAGATGTAGCTGGGAGAATAATATTGTGGCGTATAGATCCGTTGCTAGGTAACGCGCACAATATAAGAAGTGTTTTCTATGTGATCCGTGTCGAGATGTTATAAAAAAGAAATAAATTTCAGTTCTGCACAGGTAGTTGTGAAGAGAGAACACGAGTGCGTAAAGCTGAAGAATATTCACTGTTAGGAACCGTTGCCAGGGAATGGCTGAAGACATAGCAATTGGAAAAAGGCTTAGCGGGTGCTGTGGTGATTTGTCAATTTTGGAGATTAGCAGTGGCGCTGTAGTTGCTTGTAGTTCTGAGTCATGTAAGTGGACATTAAATTCATTCACGAATCCAAACCCCGTCTATAATCACACACATACACGTGATAATATAAAAACAGATCTTTGATAAATACGTATAATTGGATGATATGGACTGGATTCATCTGGCTGAGGATAGAGACCAGTGGCGGGCTCTTGTGGATACGATAATGAAACTTTGGGTTCCAAAAAATGTTGGGAAGTTTTTGAGTATCTGAAGGAACTGACGGCTTCCCAAGAACGACGCAGCTCCATAGTTAGTTTTCCTCAGTCCCTTCAGCAAATGCTGGGATAGTACCTCTACTTAGGTCACAACCTCTTCCTTCCGCATGCTTCCCGATTCATGATTCACTAATCTTGTTATGTTCTGACGCCGAATGAATGAGATTTGAGGTTCTGTCGAGTGTTGTTATGAACATAGCTGTACCTACCGTTGTTTCGGGAGGTAGGGCGCTGTGTGGTGTTAAGCCTGCGAGAGGGGAAAAAAAGTCCAAAAAACACGTCTCCACGTTTAACATGGAAGTGAATGGAATGAATGGGATTGTAACTAACTCACTAACTAACTAACTAACTAAGAAACTGCATGGAGCATATTCCCACTTGAGAATCTAATTAAAAGTTAAAGTGTTCTGTCTTATCAGATATAATACCATGTAATCTGCTGAAAATAAACCGACGTTTCGGATGAATGTTACCTCCACCTTCAGCGTCGAGGAATAAGCCCAGCAAGAAACCGCTCGGCGAGCCTGTCAAACAAGAAATATGGAACGGGCGGCACTGAGCCTCTTGAGACTCGGTCTCCGTCAGATCCACAAGGAGGTACAAACCGGACGGCTCATGATCTTCACACCTCCCTACTGTGAGCTACATGAATGCAGTCTACCTACACCCTGCCATCCTCTTCCAATAAAAACAATTTTAATATTATCCTCCCATCTACGCCTGTGGTGTGTTTCCTTACCAAAACTGCGTATGCATTTCTGTAGGTATCAATGCTTCCATACATTTTTGTCTGGGTTGTTTAACGACGTATGTAGGCAGAGTATACAACGTGGAATGGCTGGATGATAGATGAACAGGCAAGGATTCGGAAGAAAACGGTAGCAGATATATCGAAATACTATCACAACATTCATCTGGAGTAACTAAGAAAAGCGCCAGAAATCCTGTCAAGTTAGTATATACGTCGTGGGCTAGATTCGAACCAAGAAGCTCCCGAATGTGAGGTTAAACGGTTAACGCTATGCCATCCCTCTCGGGGACACATTATCAAGAACATGTCACAACAGTAACTGTGGGTGAACCGCACCTGACATGCGCAGAGGGCGTGAGAATTCTCTTGACCTGTACCTGGGGACGTGGCTGTATGTTGCAACAATGTGCAGCAGCAGTAGCAGCAGAGAGCGTTGCTGTGGTAACGTCGCAATTTCCTGCGACACATTGCATGTCACTTGTTTCCGCAGAGAAACAGCAACGCAACGCAACGCGCAGTTCTTCCTGACTGCGAGCAGGTTAGCTTTGCGGTAGCCCTGGTGCTTTTCATTCGTGTGGTTCCGTCCGTTGGCTGCCCCGTGGTTCTGCA